AAATTGTTTTACGAGACATTCAACATTATCAAAGGCGATTCATTAACAAAACTAATACAAGAGATTGCACCTTCTTGAAATACTTTGTAGTCGTGCATAGTTTATTTTTATTGTTATATAGAAACGAATAGTTATGTATTTACCTAGAAATATAATTAGTTTAATTTAATATTAAAAGCGAATTTATATAATTTAGTCATCAAATTATTTAACAATATCATGTCAGCTAAAAGATAAAAACGATTTATATACTCAAGCAATAGTTAAACTATAATTAATAAATAATTAAATAATATAATAATAGGAAAAGGCTACCTTATTACTACCTTATTATATAATTGGGAAACGTAGAAAATTGCGAGCCGCCTCATCATCCTGTATTATTTGCTTCTTCATTATCTTGGATTCTACTTCATCGATTATTATTGATTCCGCTATTCATATATCAGTAGTTGACCTAGTAACTCACTAGGTAAGTAAATGTTAACTTAGAGTTTAAAATAAATAATTCAAATGTACCAAGTTTGTACCAGTGATCTAAATAAGATACTATGTAACACTATAATAGGCAAACTCGTACTGAATTGCTCGAAAAGTAGGTTTTAGAGTATACCTGCCTATATTCGTATTTAAAAAAAGCAAACATTTTTTATGACTACATAGGGAGAGAAATCAAAATGGAAAATTATATATATATCCATAAAGATCCCCGCTGCAGAAATTTCTAAAGACATGAACAGGCTATGAAGATTTAGATGTAAGATATTCCTATTAGCAGACTTCATCAGTTAGAGGAAGGTGAAGATTTTCCGAAACATGATCCGAAGAAATTATTCAGAACGCGACGGAGCCACCAATGACAAGACATTTCTGCCACAAGTGTACCAGACAAGATCAGACGTACAATTTGTCTTGTATAGCGACAACACTAAACTTCGCAATCCAAAGTCAACATTCAAACATTCTTCCACTTTCAATCAAGTGAACAGTACCACGATGAGCTTTATCGATGCCTTTAAACGTTTTGCACAAATATATACAAAAAAGTATAAATTCCAATTCAACAACGAAAAAACTTTCGTACATGCGCATGCTGACTGACAAGTTTATGAAAAATTAATTTTTTTTTGAATCGGGCTTTTCGATAAGCAGACGTGATTTGTAAGGTACCTATCATTCAAAAAAGTTTGATTGAGGGTATCCCTGTGCTGCAAAAAATCGTTTTGAATAAATTATTAGAAAAATTTTTGGAAGTAAATTTTATCTCATCTACCAACAGTATGCAAATACACTTAAGATAATCGGTTTGGAAAGTTCTTAGCATGCCTCTATATACCTGGAGCTTTTTCCTTTTCCTTTAATATAATGGATAAACCGAAGAGGAAGTTTCTCAAAAGTGGGGGATGCGAAACAAATAATTTATTTTAGAAACCGATTTGGAATTGGTGTTCTTTACGAACAAAACACTATTTTTATATTTCCGAATATTGGCTACATGATAAAAACTGGTAACGTTGGAGTTCCTCAAGATACTATTCTTGGCTCACTGCTCTTTCTACAGATTTTATATCATTTGTGCTAACTCCAATTGGGAGAGAGTGCAGTCAACGAATTAATATGTTGAGAAAATTGATTAAAATTAAAACAATCGTCACCAAATAAAAAAAAAACAATGGCCAATGAAGTCCAAAACTATGATTCTATATTAGGAAATCCAAAATGTTGATCATATAAGTAGCTTTTTAATATTATTGATTCGAGTTTTGAGTCTATCTCATAGATGACATATGCAGAGTGACATTTTGATATTACAACATATTTTTTTTGAACAGCTTTAAACTGAATTTGAAATAGACAGAGAAAGATAAGACCATGAACTCTGAAACACAATTTTGCATACAGCTGTATAGGTACTGAATCATTTGAATGGTTAAATAAATAAATAAATAAAGTCAACGAGTCTCTTTACACCGTACATTGAAAGTAAGTACTTATTTAGTAGTGTCTTATTGTATTACCTTTCGCGTTTTGATGTGAAAAGAGGCAATAGAGAGAGAGAGAGAAAGAGAGAGACAAACGAGCTTAATGTTGAAAATGGGTCTTTGTCTGACATCCATATACTTGTTAAGTGAGCTTTAGGAAAACAATTTAAACGTTGCAATAAGACTAATGATACCCAAGCGCATTTTATAAATTGCTGGTGTAATCGTCTTTCTATTTTGCTATCGTGTATCTTCTTTTAACAAGATCTCGAAGTTAAGCTCTCTAAGGGTTTCCTTTAGATAGATTACTTACTCTTCCAACAATAAACGAGTAGAAGCGAAGTTTGTTGTCTCTTCATGCGGGGATACATCTGACACAGCTTTTTCTGTTCGTCGCCTTTTTTTAAATCTCACGAAAATATGAGAGCGATGATGTGGTAATTGCTCTTAATGCTGGTGCCATAAATCTCGCAAACGTTTAACCAAGAAGTCGTAATATTTCATGTCATCCAGTGTTATTTTCTTCATTTGAGTAATGCTTAAAACTGTCTTCAATGTTTTATTTAAGATAAATGCACAGTTTTATCTGTGTTAAACAATCAAAACTTAAAATAGTAAAGGAATTTATTTTAGATATTACCGTTGGTATAGAAATTTAAGCGAAAAAGCACAAGGCAGATAAGACGGATAATGCCTAGTTCCCTCCCATATACCTGTTTTTAATTAGAAAATTTAAATTTTCGGTATGTCGAATTCCCTCCTAATTATACATCAATTGCCTCCCAACGGCGGCGGACCTTGAGTGCTAATTACCACGATAAAGTCATAAAGAGTTGTTTAAATAATACAGCCTCATATCACATATTAATCTTAATATTATTCATATATTATAGACACCACAATAACAATAATAATTTTATCAGACTACCCTTCTATTGGTCAAATACAAGACAAACTAAAACTAATAAAGTTTTTCTGGATGATTGCATCAAAAAGCTAGACGCACACGAATTTCCAAACATTGAATTTGTTAAGGTAGTGGGAAACCATTTTAAAATTAAATAAATAAACATTTCATAACTGATATGTGTTTTCTTTCTGAAATTATTTTATCTTTAATTTACTGAAGTACTGAAGTGCACTATAAATATATATTTATTTTCGATAAATAAAATCGGTAAGTAGTCGCTAACTTAATTGTCGGAGTTGATATGAACGGGAGGGAACTCGGCTAGTACCCGGGAGGAAATTCGACATCTATATTTTAACCAAAACTACCTGCGGAAAGGAATTCGGCATCACCGAATAAGACTCCTGATGTTTAGTAGTCCAAAAAATTTTAATGGCAAATACATTCAAGAAGCATCAGTTTGGTAAAGGCTTTTGTGATCAGTAAGTGAACTGATGCTGTTCTGATGCGGGTCTAAAAGTTATTTGTGGACACATTGAGCATCGGAAATGGAAGGACCTACTCCTGCTAGCCTTTAACCAGAATCAGGACAGCATCAGAGCATCATTTCATTGATCTTTTAAATATCAGGTTACAGTGAGAAGGTTCTTTACTTCAAAACTCCAATAAATAAAGGACAACCGTCCAAATTAGTACAGGCTCAAACAATAATGTTAAAATAATAATTTGATCTTGCAATTTCTTAACATTTTTAAATAAAATTAACAAATATGTATTTTCTTTTCAGGTAAATGGTGCTTGGGCCCTTCCAAGTTTTGTGTGTGATTTTTACATCGCCATGGATGTTACCTGTTCCACTTCTTCCATATTTAATTTAGTTGCCATTTCGATAGATAGGTAAGTTGATGCAATTTTCTCATCTTTAATCCTGCGCCAGTTCTTTTATAATTTGTTTTTCTCACTCCTAATTATTTTTCATCCACCCCCGTATATTACGCTTATGTATTGTTTTGTCTCAAAAGGCGACTATACCTTTTATAAACTAAAGGACAATTCTTCAGTTTCAGCTACACATTATGCTACCTCTAAATCAGCTTATAAAAAATCGTTTAAAGCTGTGATTCCAAAAAGGCTATTCGAATATTTAAAACTTTTGTGTCCATGATACATTGTATGTGGAGTTTGCCTGGCGACCTGTCGCAACTAACTTTTCATGAAAGTTTACAAGGTTAAACGCTGAGTTTGATTTACAAGTTTAGTTAGTAACAGAACCAAAATTGCTTTTGCCAGATTAAAACCCAGCAATGTATGTACTGTGACGTACAGTAACTAGACTTTATAAACGAAAAATAGTTATTCCAACTGTTTCCATTTGGAAACATCGTAATATGTTCGACTACACATGTTTGGTATCTACCAAGTTGGTACATAAATTAGCGACAATGATGGCCAAAATACCCTAGAAATGTCGAAGACTAGTATATATTGCAGTAGACTCAGGTGACTTCAAAAAAATTTACGACCAACCTATTTAAAAGTCTTATATCTTTTCCCACCCTTATCTATTATAATTTTTGTTCCTATACCAACTTAAAGCTGTAAACTTTAACCAATTTATTGTCAAGTAAAAGTCAAAGTCCTAAAGGTCCTACCTGGCACCTGTAAATCAAGCTTTTGCCCTAAATAGTCAAAGAGCATTCAAGTATTACTTAAGCACATGTAGACGGTGAAGGTATGAATAGATACTTCGTAAGTGTTGTCTTTATCCGTCAAGAAAGAACTTATTACATATAAATATAGATCTTTCGGGCTCTTTCTCGGCCAATACGATCTGCTGTTAAATTCTTTTCCATCACTAACAATTTTCTATTTTGCTGATAACTTATACAACAGTCAACACAAAATGGTATTAGTGACACAGTAAATTTCGTGTTAAGGATATGTATTCTCGTCAACTCTAAAAGCGAAATTAATATGGACAATTATTATATAATATATAATCTGTTACTTACCTTTTACTGTAATTGTATTGAAAATATGCACCGATTTTTATTAATAAGCATTTAGGAATACTTACTTCACTCGTAAACAGATTCATTTCATTTGGTAATCAACAAACAGGTCTTTATTTCTATTGTGACACTAATGGTATCGTTTTGTGTTGACTAGCAAAAATGGACTATTGTTAGTAATGCAAAAAAAATTAACAGCAGGTTAGTAAAGCAAACATTTTTTTTTCTTAACGCTTTGTAATTTTTGTGTACGGCACTGCGAATATCATGTTAAATTCCATCTGAATCGAATCGTATATTGTATTAGTCGAGAAAGCATCCTTTTCCATCTTTGTACCTACCCCGTTGTAAAAATGATTTATGGCTTTTCGTCTTGACTCGCCGGAAGATCTATATATACATGTATTTATGGTTAGAGCTGTACAATAATTATGAAAATTATTTCGTAGGCCATTAAGTTTGCATACTCTATCTTCTCAAGGTAATTGTACATTACCTCTACCACTTGATTAGCTGTCAGGCAAATAACATTTGGTTAGTAAAATAGTATTTGCCTGGGCAAACAATTTGAAATAATAGTTGTAAAAATATGCCTAAACGATCTGCCTAGGCAAATATAATATAACTGGAATAACAATTTATCTGCGTAATATGAAAAGCTAACAGAATCATTAAAATAGTTTATTATGACTGATATACAATAATTTTACATCTCTTGCGTGGAGATTGATTTTCTTTTTTCGATTGAACGCTAGGTAGTTACTTAGGAAATTTGAAAAACGTTGATTCCTATAACACCATTAAATTGAAAGTGTAGGTTTCCTCAAGTTTTACCTCGTTCCTTTGAAAGCTTGCCCCTTCAACTTCGTTATAAACTTAATTCACTCAAGTCGTCCTCCTGGGAATCGAGACTTCCCGTTATTTCTGAAGAAATAATATCACTAGAAGCAAATATTTGTAGCATTTCGAGTATTGAATCGATACATTAATTTCTTATTTTATATATTTTCTCAATTTCAAATTGACACGGAACATTTCAAAATGGCAATTCAAATTTCTTTCCGAACGATAAGTTATTTCATTCGCGCAATTAGTCGCTATGTCATTAGTTCTACATGAATTGATGTGTGGTAAAAAAACAAAAATTCTGTTCCATGAAAAACGATACAGTGATATATAGCTTTAGTAATTTAATATAGTGAAAATGTGTAAAGACATTCAACCAAAAACATGATGATATCTTTAAAAATATTAGATACTATTGTAATATTTCCCCTACATTTCATAAGTTTTATGTAGGTATATTACAAATATAAGAGTTTCATCNGCGTAACTTTAAATCGTTATTAACTTCGTTTCGTAGGTACTACAACGACGACACTGCCTGGCCCATTATAAACAGAACGATAATTAAAATTTCGCAAAGGTGCTTCATTGACGAGTTTTTGGACAATGAACTTAGAGACCTATTTTAAGGAAATTATTAAGTATTGTAGTTTTCAATAATATAATCAATATTATACCATAATCAAAAGAAAAAGCTTTGTAGAATGCTCCCTATTGTAACTAATGAAAGCATAATTTATTTGTGATTACCTACAAGGGCTGGACACGCAGCTCCACTCTTTCCTATCCTGAGCTAATCTTCGCATTTCCCTAAAACTATAACAACCTATATTCTTGACTATTTACGAACAGTAATTTAATCTAGGTCTACCTCTATCCCTCCTAACTTCCGTTTCTGCTTCTAATATGTCTCTGACTAGACCTTCATGCCTGAGAAGGTGTCCTACCAACCTATCTCGTCTATTTTTTTCTGACTTCCATAGAGTCCTCTGTTCTCATATTCTTTCTAATACCTCTTCATTTCTCACCTTCTCTATCCACAATATCCTCATCATTTGCCTGTAACACCACATTTCGAACGCTTCTAACCTTTTCTGTTCCGCCGCGCCCACTGTCACTGTTTCGCACCCGTACAGCGCCGTGCTCCAAACATACACCTTTAACAACCTTTTTCGAATTTTAAATTAACCATTCGCGAGCATAGAAGTGACTTTTTTTAATTAATTAAGACTACTACTTCTTCCGTCTTGATTTATCTGACTTCCTAGATATCTAAAATCAGTCACTTCCTCCTAATCTTTTGTCTCCTATATTTACATTCGCTCTTTCCCTATTTTTTCTTCCCTTGTATACTAGTATTTCTATTTTACTTTAATTTATTTTCATACAATACTGTTTTGTCAATACCGCTTCCATTTTATTTAAAGCTATCTCTAACTCCTCCTTGCTAGATGCTAATACTGCTATATCATCTGCAAATCTAAGCATACTAATCTTTTGCCCTTGCACATCTATCCCTACAGTTGTACTGTCTTTAATGATGTTGATGGCGTCTTCGATGTATAGATTAAAAAGTAGCGGTGACAGTGTGCATCCCTGCCTGACTCCCTTCCTAATATTTACTTCTCTACGTTGCATCCCCAGCTCTATAACTGCCTGTTGCTCTTTATACAAACTAAGTATCACTCTTCTATCTTTGTAACTCATCCCTACATTTTTAAGTATATTTAACATCTTGTCCCATTTGACATTGTCAAAAGCTTTCTCTAAATCTACAAATCCTATGTACGCAGTCTTTCCTTTTTCTATCGTTTTCTCTATTGTTACCCGTATAGCTACTATAGAATGGCCTCCCGCGTTCCTCTATTTCTTCTAAACCCAAATTGATCTTCCCCTAATAGTTCTTCCGCCATTTTTCCGTCCTCCTCTGTACAATTTTACTTAAGGTTTTTGACGCATGGGAGGTTAAGCTAATTGTTCGAAATGTCTCGCACCTATCCGCGCCGCTCTTCTTAGGTAATGTTACTATTACGTTCCCATCTACACCTGGCGCCTTATTACAATTTTACTTAAGGTTTTTGACGCATGGGAGGTTAAGCTAATTGTTCGAAATGTCTCGCACCTATCCGCGCCCCTCTTCTTAGGTAATGTTACTATTACGTTCCGTTTATAATCGTCTGGGTCTTTCCCCATTTCATAAATGTGACTAACTAGCTTACATACGATCTCTAACCTCTTGTCCTGCATGTTTTAGAATTTCCCCTTGTATCCCATCTACACCTGGTGCCTTATTATTCTTTAAATTTTTTAATGCTACCTCGAAGTCTTCTCTCATTATGGGATAACCAAGCTCATCTATTTCCACAGTATCTTCGTTCTCTAATATATCTCCTAACTCAGGGCCTGCATACAAGTTCTCTAAATATTCTTTCCACCTATAAAAAATATCAAACAAAATCTATAGATTAATTAAAGCACTGTGGGATTTAATTCCATATGCAAACAGTAGTAAAGTCAGGCGCAGTTTCGCCTTTCCAAATAGGCAAATAATAAAGCTTACCGAACCTCGTTACAGCTGGACCGGGGGTTAATTATGAACCTAATTGTTCATTGCATAATCAAGTGTGGCTCGCTGCCTACTATCAGAACCACGTATGAAATACTGATTAAAGGTAATTGGCAATGTAATTCTCATCTGGCTTTTGAATGCTGTTTTACGAGACATTCAACATTATCAAAGGCGATTCATTAACAAAACTAATACAAGAGATTGCACCTTCTTGAAATACTTTGTAGTCGTGCATAGTTTATTTTTATTGTTATATAGAAACGAATAGTTATGTATTTACCTAGAAATATAATAACTTTAATTTAATATTAAAAGCGAATTTATATAATTTAGTCATCAAATTATTTAACAATATCATGTCAGCTAAAAGATAAAAACGATTTATATACTCAAGCAATAGTTAAACTATAATTAATAAATAATTAAATAATATAATAATAGGAAAAGGCTACCTTATTACTACCTTATTATATAATTGGGAAACGTAGAAAATTGCGAGCCGCCTCATCATCCTGTATTATTTGCTTCTTCATTATCTTGGATTCTACTTCATCGATTATTATTGATTCCGCTATTCATATATCAGTAGTTGACCTAGTAACTCACTAGGTAAGTAAATGTTAACTTAGAGTTTAAAATAAATAATTCAAATGTACCAAGTTTGTACCAGTGATCTAAATAAGATACTATGTAACACTATAATAGGCAAACTCGTACTGAATTGCTCGAAAAGTAGGTTTTAGAGTATACCTGCCTATATTCGTATTTAAAAAAAGCAAACATTTTTTATGACTACATAGGGAGAGAAATCAAAATGGAAAATTATATATATATCCATAAAGATCCCCGCTGCAGAAATTTCTAAAGACATGAACAGGCTATGAAGATTTAGATGTAAGATATTCCTATTAGCAGACTTCATCAGTTAGAGGAAGGTGAAGATTTTCCGAAACATGATCCGAAGAAATTATTCAGAACGCGACGGAGCCACCAATGACAAGACATTTCTGCCACAAGTGTACCAGACAAGATCAGACGTACAATTTGTCTTGTATAGCGACAACACTAAACTTCGCAATCCAAAGTCAACATTCAAACATTCTTCCACTTTCAATCAAGTGAACAGTACCACGATGAGCTTTATCGATGCCTTTAAACGTTTTGCACAAATATATACAAAAAAGTATAAATTCCAATTCAACAACGAAAAAACTTTCGTACATGCGCATGCTGACTGACAAGTTTATGAAAAATTAATTTTTTTTTGAATCGGGCTTTTCGATAAGCAGACGTGATTTGTAAGGTACCTATCATTCAAAAAAGTTTGATTGAGGGTATCCCTGTGCTGCAAAAAATCGTTTTGAATAAATTATTAGAAAAATTTTTGGAAGTAAATTTTATCTCATCTACCAACAGTATGCAAATACACTTAAGATAATCGGTTTGGAAAGTTCTTAGCATGCCTCTATATACCTGGAGCTTTTTCCTTTTCCTTTAATATAATGGATAAACCGAAGAGGAAGTTTCTCAAAAGTGGGGGATGCGAAACAAATAATTTATTTTAGAAACCGATTTGGAATTGGTGTTCTTTACGAACAAAACACTATTTTTATATTTCCGAATATTGGCTACATGATAAAAACTGGTAACGTTGGAGTTCCTCAAGATACTATTCTTGGCTCACTGCTCTTTCTACAGATTTTATATCATTTGTGCTAACTCCAATTGGGAGAGAGTGCAGTCAACGAATTAATATGTTGAGAAAATTGATTAAAATTAAAACAATCGTCACCAAATAAAAAAAAAACAATGGCCAATGAAGTCCAAAACTATGATTCTATATTAGGAAATCCAAAATGTTGATCATACAAGTAGCTTTTTAATATTATTGATTCGAGTTTTGAGTCTATCTCATAGATGACATATGCAGAGTGACATTTTGATATTACAACATATTTTTTTTGAACAGCTTTAAACTGAATTTGAAATAGACAGAGAAAGATAAGACCATGAACTCTGAAACACAATTTTGCATACAGCTGTATAGGTACTGAATCATTTGAATGGTTAAATAAATAAATAAATAAAGTCAACGAGTCTCTTTACACCGTACATTGAAAGTAAGTACTTATTTAGTAGTGTCTTATTGTATTACCTTTCGCGTTTTGATGTGAAAAGAGGCAATAGAGAGAGAGAGAGAAAGAGAGAGACAAACGAGCTTAATGTTGAAAATGGGTCTTTGTCTGACATCCATATACTTGTTAAGTGAGCTTTAGGAAAACAATTTAAACGTTGCAATAAGACTAATGATACCCAAGCGCATTTTATAAATTGCTGGTGTAATCGTCTTTCTATTTTGCTATCGTGTATCTTCTTTTAACAAGATCTCGAAGTTAAGCTCTCTAAGGGTTTCCTTTAGATAGATTACTTACTCTTCCAACAATAAACGAGTAGAAGCGAAGTTTGTTGTCTCTTCATGCGGGGATACATCTGACACAGCTTTTTCTGTTCGTCGCCTTTTTTTAAATCTCACGAAAATATGAGAGCGATGATGTGGTAATTGCTCTTAATGCTGGTGCCATAAATCTCGCAAACGTTTAACCAAGAAGTCGTAATATTTCATGTCATCCAGTGTTATTTTCTTCATTTGAGTAATGCTTAAAACTGTCTTCAATGTTTTATTTAAGATAAATGCACAGTTTTATCTGTGTTAAACAATCAAAACTTAAAATAGTAAAGGAATTTATTTTAGATATTACCGTTGGTATAGAAATTTAAGCGAAAAAGCACAAGGCAGATAAGACGGATAATGCCTAGTTCCCTCCCATATACCTGTTTTTAATTAGAAAATTTAAATTTTCGGTATGTCGAATTCCCTCCTAATTATACATCAATTGCCTCCCAACGGCGGCGGACCTTGAGTGCTAATTACCACGATAAAGTCATAAAGAGTTGTTTAAATAATACAGCCTCATATCGCATATTAATCTTAATATTATTCATATACGAGGGTGGATTGATAAGTTTCCGGCCTAACCAAGAGATGACGCCACTAGGCCTACCTTGAGGTGACATTCTATAGTACCATCCTTGGATAGCTTGTAGCTATAGTTTCAGCCCGATCTCCTTGCTAGTGTAGGTTTGACAGCACGCTGAACAAGACGCCTCTGTGGTTTTCGTAAAAATGGAAAAGCAGGAAAATCGT